CACTTACTTCTTTTTTGAAGTCTTTCCTGTCCTTTTCCTGGACTCCGCTCTCTGCTTTCTTCGTCGGGGTGGTTTTGCGACAACTTTCTTTGCTCGTTCAGGTTTAGACAGCTAATCCGGATCGATTGCACTATCCTGTCCTTCACTTCACAAAGTTTTTGTTCGAATTTCGCGTTAAAGGGTTGAAACCGCACTTCCCGATTTACCACTGCATGTGACACTCGAAAGGGAATACACGAAATCCTACCGACTGCGCCAGTTTTGAGGTCTGAATTAACAGAGTTGTTTTTAAAAAACGATTTTATTGTTACAAACGTTCTCGACAAAGTACAGAGAGTGAAAAGTCTGCTTCGAACCGTGCAGTTCGCTTTTATATGTGACATAATGTAAAATAGGCATTCAGTATTTAATTACAATGAAATAACACTTATTTATACATATAACTCCCATCAAATAGTAATTTTGTCCTAATTTAATGTCCTCATTTTTTTATAGACATATTTATTATTGTTTAATTCTTGCATTATATTTGGATATTTTTTGTAAGTTGAGAGCTAATTGTAGTATTTGCCCATTTTCTTTACTGAAGAATTACCATAATAGGAAAAATCCCATAACGATATACAGGATGTCCCAGAAATAACTGTAAGTATTTTAAGGGGTGGTAGATCTCGATAAAAGAAACATATTTTCTCTTTATCGTTTTTCAAATAAGTCCAAAATAACGGAGATATTTTACTTTGAAAATTTCAAAAAAAAAATATTTTTTGCCGAAAATTTTGAGAACCACTGGATTTTTTTCTGAATTTTCTTTCTTGTAAATTTAATCTACTACCTATCTTGCCATATTAACAAAAATTATTTTTTTTTAATAAAAACTAAAAAAAATACAAAAAAAATTCAAAAAATTCCGAATTTTCATTTTTTTCTGCGAAAAAAACCTCATAGGCGTTTCTGGGGTTGAATTATACTACCACTTAAAATACTTGCACTTATTTCTGGGACACCCTGTATATGGTTTTTAACATAATAGCTAATCTATAAAAGAATTAGCCCATATGTAAATGGACTGAAGATTTTAGTCCATATGTGTAAGCAGCTCGCTTTTTTTACAAACGACTTATCAGTTTGTAAAAGGACTAGTTAATTTACATAAGGTCTATCTGTAACTAGACCATATGTATTTATCTAAATATTTGATAGGCTTAGGATAAAACTGACTTTTTATGTGGACTTAAATGCAGATTTAGATACTGTAGGTCCCAATTTATTTGGTATAAAAAGGAATTAAGTAAATTCTACATATACTCGGATTTACGGCACAGGGAAGTTTTCGACAGACGTTGACAGAAAAAAGGCAGATGACGCCCATACCAATACATTTATTTCACTAAAAAAGTTTCTTAAGTTCATTATTAATGGGTATATTAACAGTATGTCCGCGGATTTTCTTTACAGGGGGATTTTTTATTATTGTCATATTGAGAAAGATGTATTCTTGATAAAAAAAAATTCTATACAGTTTTAGAGAAAATTAAAATAAAAATAAAAATATGGTTGAATTTTTTGGTAATATCAATTCGATTTCATTCTTTGATAGATGGTTATTATTAATTTTGATTAACGTCATATGTTTTGCTGTTGTTCAAGTATCACATTTTCCTCTATAACTATTATCATTCTTTCCGTAGCATTGAATTAAATAAATTTTGTGCTTCTTAAACATTTTAAAACAGCAAAAAATATGACAAATTAAAAGTCTATCAATAGTTCAATCATTGGGGATCAAAAAAGGGGTCCGGAAGTGCCGGGATACGCCACTGTTTCATGACAAAATTGAAGAAACTAAACTAAAACTAGTTTTAGTGAACCCTAATCGACATTTGATTTCGGAAAATCGACTATACATAATATATCATATTTTACGCAAAATTGTAAAATTTCCAGGGATTTTGTGCCTAAACGGTTGACTTAAGCGAAAATTTTCATAAAACCTTTTTTATAGGAAATTTATTCTCTTTAATTTTGCTCTCCTCAAATTTTCGCGAAAAACACATAGTTTTCGAGATATTCTCAAAATACCGATTTTGGGTATCATCTTGGCAAGATGGCGGCGCCGGCGGCAAATCTGGAAATGTGCATTTTACGGATTTTAGTTAGGGACCCCAAAACCTATAAACCTGCAAAGTTGCAAAACTTCCGGACTTTTTTCCAAGCAAAAATCCCCAATGACTGAACTACAATAGCAATCTATCAAAGAATGAATACGAAATTATATTACCATAGAAACGCGTTTTGATTTTTAGAAAAAAATTCAACTGTATTCTCATGTTTTTTTTTAAATTTTCTCTAAAACGGTATGAAAATGTGGAAAAGTGTAAACAGGATTATTCATTTTGAAACAAGCAAAAATTTTTATGAAGAACGCATTTTCCTCAAAATGTCAATAATAAAAAAGTTTTTTTTTTCCTCTTGTAAAGACAATCGGGGAACATACTGTATAAATCCTCCATGCGTCGTATCTTGTTGTTTTTAACCAGTCTTATTGGTTTATTTAAAAAATGACAGATCCTATTTCAATATTACTGGAGTGACGGAACGATGACGCACATGCGTATGAACTCGACTTAAGATTTTTGAAACTTGTCAAATTCTTGTCAAGTTAAAGGTTATTATTTTTTATGTAAATATTGACAAATAACCAGCGTTCTTTTGCATTTTTTCGTTACCAGCTGATACTGAATAAGCTATGCTTGCACTATTCAAAAGAGTGACAATATACTCCACAATATCTCCGATTTTACTATTTTTTGTCTTTATAGTAAGTAAATACCCAAGTAGCATTTTCACGACTTGCGACCACATGTTTACTAAACACAACGTTGGATTAGTTACAAAAAATAGTTAGCTCCGTACCTTGGGTATTAAAATAAATATAAACGTTGTTGTAACGTTGTGCCAACGTTGAACTAGTACTACAACAAAGTAAAAGCTTCTGCGACGTCGAATAAACGTTGTCTTGTAACCTTTTTTGCTTAAGTGATCTTTAGGTGATTCGGACAACGTAGTTACAATATTGGGCAATAAAGAGTTTTCCGACGTCACTTTCAGGACCTATTCCAACGTTATGCAAACGTCGTCTGTTTTACTAATTCCAACGTTATTTAGATTTCCTTATTCTTAAGTTGGTAGGACGCCAAGCCACTACCTTTTTGCAACTGTATTGAACCATAACCTTAAATCTTAAATTTTCACTTCATTGTTCTGTTCATCAGTCAGACAGTTCAGTGCTATTTTTGTTTCTATAAAAAAAATTAAAATGGGACGTAAGAAAGGCACATATAAAACTAAATTTAAATATACATCGATATATTACCGATACTTTATCCACTCCCTCGTTTATTTAGAATATAGAGGGCGGCACAAGCAGTCTGCTAGCCTCTAGGATGACTAAATTAGGCAATCTTGCGACTAGTATACTACCTGTTAAGGCTGAACTGCGACTTTATTAGTCCAGTATGCGACTACTCCATCTTAATCTCCAAAACAACAAAGTGAAAGCCGCCATGTTGTTGAATAACAAAATGTTTCGTTCCTAAAATAGCAATTCCTGCTTTTTGAATACATTAACTTGAAATATTTGACCCTAAACAACATGCGGAAACAATGTTTTTTCGACTGCGAATAAAATATTCTCATTTCTCAAATTTTCTCAAAAAAAGAAAATTTCAAGAAATTTTTTAAAACATCTTTGATTTTAAGGCCCATTAGTATTTTTCAAAGTAGAAACAATACATTTATCAATAAAGTTGTTTGCGTTTAACTTTTTTGCTTTGGGTAACGAGTTACAGAGTTGGTTAAAGTGTTTCAATAATTATGATCTTCAAACATCCTCCACACCTAAATACTTTTGTTTTGTTTTCCTTTACTGCCATCTGGCATATGTCTCTAACTAAATCATAAAAATAATATTTTTACTATAATTATCCCAATTTAGGATAAAACGCGACTTAGACGCCATATTATTATAGTTTTGTATTTCTGTGAATTAGGATTTTAAACAACGTTGCAGTTTGTACTAAATTAGGCTGCTAGCCAACGTAGGTATCCAACGTCGTTTCGACCCAAAAATTATTCTCCAAATTAGTGCAGACTAGAGTTGGCACGAGGTTGTGCCGACGTTGCGCCCCGACGTTTGGTCGCGTGACACAACGTTGTCCCGACGTCCAAATGCTGCTTGGGTATTCTTTAAGTAATAAGTAAAATGGATGAGCAGAATTTTATTTTAAAAAAGGGGATACTTTTTCTTTTTTCCTAACCACAACAAAAGATTTTTAAGCATCAATATTTTCTTATACTCCCCAGTAATCTTTAATGTATATGTTATTCTTTGTGTAAAGCATTATATCTCCCTTGTTGTTTCCCTATATAGAACGCCTTCTTTTATTTATTTGTCTGGCGATTTCTAATGATTAAAAAAGCTTTTTTCATATTCTTGATTACGGTATATTATTACTAAAAGTAATACCTCCTGTTCTATAAACGCTTACTTTTTAGAATATGAAATGAATATACCGTATAATAAAAAAACGACGCCCAGATGGTTTGGAAATAACGATCTCTGGTATTCCCCATATAAAACGACAGCGATCTTCATTTTCAAGCTATCTCAGGCGCCGGTTTTTTTTCTCGATAATATTGCATAAATTAATAAAAAATAAAACAGTAAAAAAATACACATTCTAAAATTTAATTTGAAAGAAAAAATGAGAAACCAGACTTTCGTTTCAAAAAAATCGAAAGTTTTACTTTTTTCCTGTATCTATAAGATACATTTCATACTCCCACTAAAACACTTTATTAAAGAAACTCAAACTTCCTCAAGTATTCTAAGTGGAAAACATTTTATACCACAGCGTATCCGAAAAACTTTGGCATTTTTCTAAACTAGTACGTAAATAATTCAGAATAAGTGGACAAAAACCCACTAAAAAACTTACCTTAAAATCCCTTAATCCCAAAGTGCCGTAAACGTGGAACTGGTGCTCGTCTTCGAACAAACTTAAATCGGATAATCGACTTAAAGTGGAAAGGTCCTGTAACAAATTATTAGATATTGTTCAAATTTTGTTAAACCTTGTCCTACTTTTGTGGTAGTGATACTAGGATAATTAATTTTTAAAACACTTTTAGTAAAACCTTTTAATTTTTTTTTCTTTAATAGATATACAGGGTGAGTGTTAAATAAGTGGAAATATTTCAGGGCTGGTAGATCTCGATAAAAGAGACATATTTTCTCTTCGCCATTTTTCAATCCAAAAAAAAGTCCAATAGTTCAGTCACTGGGGATCAAAAAAGGGGCCCGCTTGGAAAAAAGTCCGGAAGTTTTGAAACTTTGTAGGATTAACGATTTGGGTATCCAGCATTAAAATTCACAAAATGCACATTTCCAGACTTGCCGTCGGCGCCGCCATCTTGCCAAGATAGCACCCAAAATCGGTGTTTTGTAAATATCTCGAAAACTATGCGTTTTTTGCAAAAATTTGAAAAGAGCATAACATTTCTTATAAAAAAGAAAAAAAAACATTAAAGAGAATAACATTTCCTATAAAAAAGGTTTTATGAAAATTTTCGCTAAAGTCAACCGTTTAGGCATAAAATCCCTGGAAATTTTACAATTTTGCGTAAAGTATGATATATACTCGATTTTCCGAAATCAAATGTCGATTAGGGTACACTAAAACTAGTTTTAGTTTAGTTTCTTCAATTTTGTCATGAAACAGTGGCGTATTATTAATTCGTTCATTAATTTATGAATAATTAATTTTAATTATTGAAAATGTGTACTTTCCACACCACCCAAGAGGTATAGTACATGGCGCGTTTGTTTAACGCAACGTCTCCCAGAAGGCCTACTTCACTAGGTAAATTAAAAACTAACTTATCTGCACAAGCCCGACGGACCTGGCTCATTGATGTCAAAGTCGATCGTGTCTGCTGTACTGGGCTCATCAGGGTGGTCTCTCAATTCGTCCAACTCTTCATCTTCAGCCGCCAGAGGGATATCTACAGGCAAGTCCAACTCCTCTTCATGGGATTCGTCGAGTGACACTTCAGTGACGTTGTCACAGGATTTCCCGTTGCAGTATCCACAAATCATTGAACATTTTAATCCTGCTTTTCTGCATCCGCAGGCTTTACCACAGTTGTTGGTTTTGCATTTACAGGATAAAAATGCCAATAGGGATTTTGGAGCTGGATCTTTCAATGTTGTGACTGGAGTAATGCCTGTTTTTGTTTTCTTCCAACCCCATTCTTCGGCATCTTTGGTACAACCTCTAAGTAAGTTGCTATTGTAGGTGAGAAATTTCTTCTTGCTCTCTTGCAAAGACAAACGAGAACCTAAATTTGGATAAATATCGATACCAGTGTTTCGTCAAATCCGTTACCAAAAGTAAATTTAATTTAGCATCTTTACCACCGACTAGAGCAGCAGCACGACAACATTCATTGCTAACTTACCACCAGGGTCAGCATTGGTCTGGCTGTACCAAAGATGCCGAAGAATGAGGTTGGAAGAAAACAAAAATAGGCATTACTCCAGTCACAACGTTGACAGATCCAGCTCCAAAATCCCTATTGGCATTTTTATCCTGTAAATGCAAAACCAACAACAGTGGTAAAGCCTGCGGATGCAGAAAAGCAGGATTAAAATGTTCAATGATTTGTGGATACTGCAATGGGAAATCCTGTGACAACGTCACTGAAGTGTCACTCGACGAATCCCATGAAGAGGAGTTGGACTTGCCTGTAGATATCCCTCTGGCGGCTGAAGATGAAGAGTTGGACGAATTGCGAGACCACCCTGATGAGCCCAGTCCAGCAGACACGATCGACTTTGACATCAATGAGCCAGGTCCGTCGGTCTTGTGCCGATAAGTTAAAGTTTTTAATTTACCTAGTGGAGTAGGCCTTCGGGGAGACTAAAAAAAGATTTTTTTTTCGCTTAAATTTTGAGAACTATTGGATCTTTTCAGATTTTTCTTTCTTCTAAATTTAATCTACTACCTATGTTGCTATATTATCAAGATATTATGTTTTTTAATTAAAAATTAAAACAGTTTCCAAAAAATTTGCACTTATTTAAGACTCACGCCGTATATAGATAATAAATTATATTATATGGTCCTGACCGCTTATTATATATCTACATATATAAAATGCTAATGTTTATCTGTGTCGTCTCTACTGAAGTAACGACTCGCTTTGGAAAGTTGCTTTTATTACTAAAAGATAGCTAATTGGCTCTTCTAAAAACTGTCGTCGCCGGATTTTTTGTTTTTCATTTAATTAAACAAAAAAATTAAAAGTATTTTTTTCCTGATGTGGCGGATGCGCCAGGCTTCAACTAGTAGCACATATTATACAGATTATAAACTTTGTTTTTTCTTTATTGTTTTTCGTGGTTCCAATTTTCAGAATTGGGCACTAGTTAGGTTACTAGTTTGCGCACATAGCACGCCCACTTATGGCCTCTAAAATTGTGCACAGCGCCTGACCGGCACAGTTATTAGAGAGATATCGGAAAACGAATAGTTGCAGTATTTACGCGTACCTTATCACGGTTACTAGATGCGCGAGTCAATTTTTAACGCAACACCCGCTAATAACGTTATCGCCTGACGTAATTTGCGGATCAATTACACCAAGCGCTCCTTGTTATAAGCGCTCTTTCTAAATAACCTCTGATAACGTTTAAAAATTGCTTAAATGGGCATGTGCGGGTATTTGACAACCGGGGCCGGCCGGCGAGATCTTTTATTTTAGATTATATTTGAATTGTTTTGAATTATTACTTTAGTTTTATTAGGTAATTTGATATTTAAGTAGCTGGGATTAGTTTTAATTAAATAAATATGGCCCAAAATATGGATTCCACCTCTTCCAATATTAAAGAACCTATAAAGAGGCTTAAGTTTACAGCAGATGACGACTTAGCCCTTCTAAGAGAATTTGTTGCTTGTTGCTCTAAACCCCCTGGCAGACGTTGAACAATAAAGCATTGGAAATAAGCACTTTAGTCCTTTAGTTTTAAAATACCTATTAAACAAAACAATTTCAAAGTTTTAAATTCAAAGTTAGGTTAAGTTTAAATAGCGGACGCGACGAGAACAGAATTCATTCCGACCCGATACCTATAAATGAAGAGAGTTAATACCACCTCACGTAAAGGAAATAACACCTGGCCTTATTAACGTCCATGCACGCTATTCGGTTTAGCAATATTTCTCTATTACGCTGTTTATTGTTATTTTACGCGAGTTTATTTTTGCCAACAGGAAATTTTACTCGTTTGCACATCGTCATAAAAAACAATTTTCGTACCAAGATTTTTATCTGTATACTTATAGGATACCTAATCTGTGCTAGTAGATACATATTTACCTTGGAAAGGTCAATAAGTAAAATATTTTTTATATAATAGTTTCCGTTTCTTCAGAATCCAAAATAATTTAAAAATAACGTAACATTCAAATGATGTTACGTTCTAAAGCAGAAAAATAATTATATTATTAATTAATAGCTTTAATTGTAAACATAAAATAAAACTATTAGTAAAAAGAAAAAGTTAAAAAAAAATAAAAGAATAAAAAAACGTGATTTACCTAAAATTGACATAAAAGTTGTCAAAAATTAACACTAGTTAGTACTTTTTTAGTAGTAAGCACTTTAGTTTTTTTTTAACAGATACGTCAATGAAAACCGTTGACGTTCTGTTAAAATGACGTTATATCCAAGTTAAACTTCAAAATTAACAATTACTACCTGATAACAATTATTACTAAAATATAGTTGAACCAAAAAACTTCAAACTTTCTGTATATTTGATATCAATTAAACTTTTAGTTACGCAATCGAGGGCGCGATTTTTAAATTCATTTTTGCCATCCATGGACATATTCGGCGATGGGCTGACTAACTGGAATTTAAATTTCCCGCTAGGGATTCACGTGGCAGCTCTGCTGTAAAAAATGTCAAGTTGCCGCATTTATTTATTTATTTCCTGACATTGTCATTCATTTTGAAACTTTAATTTTGTATTATGAGTTTTTTGTTTGAATAAATAGTGTTGTAATACTTTAGGCTTAAAAATGTTTACTAGCAGACCTTGCAGTCGAACATTGTTCTTTTTAGAACCTTTCAGAAGTATGAAGTAAACAAGATAGCTTAATAGCCGTAAAAAACTCATCGCAACTTTCATAGAATATTTTGAACGGGAAAGCGATAGTAACGGCCCGCTATGTCCCTTAAGTGCTGTTAAGAAGGTGAGTTTTTTTGATGTAAATAATAACTGTTTATATATTTATAATTAATTTATTTTTGTTTCCTGATATATTTTGATTAAAAGAAAATATGTAAAAGAGGGCAACTCTGTGCCGGTTAAGCTTAATCGAGCTGATTAGTTTTTAATTCTTATTTATGTTATGTTCATTAAAATCAAAAAAGCGATAGCCCATACATTATTAATTAAATATATATTTTATGTCAATATTAAATGTAAAATATCGTTACAACATCGATCTGTATCCAGTTCGTTAGCGAATAAATATTTTGAAAAGCAATAACAGCGTGTTATTCAATAAACTGGAATAATCTAATAAATAGGGACGACGTTAAATTCAATAATAATTATATTTTTCAGTAAATTGTTGTTTATATTGTTGGTACAATATATCACGTTGATTTTTTTAATTTTTGATAAAAATTGCGAAAATTTATAGGGTAAAATAATATTCAATTAAAACTGAAAGATGAGATATTATTTTAGGCTTCATTTTTTTACTAAAATGTATCTTTTTAAATGGAATAAAAAAAACATATCGTATGTTGTTTTATCACTGTTCCGGTGTACCGATTCTTATACAGGGTTGTTCACCACATACGACACGGAGTATTGTAGCTAAACGGATAGATTTTTACAAATTGTAAGTTTTGGGTTCGTTGAAGGACTATTAAAGCTACAATTTAAAAATATTTTTACAAGATACAGAGTGTCATAAATAAATAAAAAATATCAAAGTTGTATTTTTTTAAATGGAACACCCTATATATTATTACATTTTTAGTTTCTACGATTAAAATAAAGGTAAATTTGATTAAGGTTTATTCTTCGCCGTTTAAAGCTAGTAATTATTTAAAAAAAAATTTTAGACACTCTGTATAAGGTAGTATAATTTTTATTATTGCAACACAATAACTGATCAATAAATAAACTTCAGTAAATATTTAGTATTAAAAACTTTGATATCCTCGGAGAAATTAAGCCTTAAAATTTATACTGCAATTTCGTAAAATTGAAAATATTTCAAAAACGGTAAGGTTTAAGTGTAATAAACCTTAATCAAATTTACCTTTATTTTAATCGTAGAAACTAAAAATGCAATAATATACAGGGTGTTCCATATAAAAAAATACAACTTTGATATTTTTTATTTATTTGGGACTTCTTTGAATTTGGATCTTAAAAATCGAAAAAATATTTTTAAATTGTAGCTCTAATAGTCCTTCAACGAACCCAAAACTTACAATTTGTAAAAATCTAATCGTTTAGCTACAATACTCCGTGTCGTATGTGGAGAACAACCCTGTATATTTCTTTTTATTTGCATATTAGGTATATTTCAGCATTCATCTAATATTTCATGTGTACAGGGTTCTCCGTTATTGGTAAAGATTGGAGGATGCGGTTTGCAAAAAGCAGCACCACTTTTTTGTCAAACGGAAGATGCTGTAAACAAATTTTCCATAGCCCTCTTCGTTTCTGAGCTATAGGATCTTTTCGAAAAATTTGCAATTTGAGAGAGCCCCTGCATCTCCATTATTATGGAGGATATCGGTGTAAACTAATGCTTGTAGAACTTTTTACGTAGAATACAGTGGTGTAGTCTGTTTTTCTACGAAAAAAATATAAAGTTATGTTTTTTCAAATGTTAACGCCCTGTATATTTATAAATCATATGACCCGTCTTGCTGATCTTCTCAAAAATATATATCACTCTATATTTATTTTCACTATTTACTGCAATATTTAAAATATATCAATTTCTTATTAGTAGGCCGTGGTAAATAACAAAAAAATAAAAATGGTATTTACTAAAATAGTTAAACACATTAAAATTTTATTTGGGATTGATATATTTTGCTTTTGAACTGTTACCACTGAATCTCTGAATATATTTTTTTATATCGGAAAAAAATTACTTACAAATTTATTACTTTACATAATAAAAACATCAATGTTAATAAAACTTAAAATAAAAATAGAAATATTAATTTTCCAATTATAATTTTATTGGATATGATACTCATATTCTAAACACAAACCAAATTATTATGATAATTGATATATTACTGTATAATATATATTATAACGGGCGCGTCTCAAAAGTGGCTCACCCCTATGACTTTTTTTATTTTTTTTAGATAAAAAAACGAGATTTGGTATGTTAGTATATGACAAAAATTAGGATTGATTGACGTATTCAATTCTTTTTGGTCACTTCCTGTTTCCCCGGAAATGACTACAATTTTGAATTTTAAATGGCACCCTCGGTATTTTTTTACTTTATTCGATAGAAAATTACATTCTGAATAGAATGACATATCATATGTCAACTTTTGACATTCTCACTTAATAAAAAATTGTATTTTAAATTTCAATCTAGAGTGCCATGGCTATGTTAAAAACACCAATTCTTAATCAAGGAGCCTTGGAAAAATAGATTTGATCGTCTAATGTTTTTAGTGTCTTCTCCTGGTCGGTTAGAAAATGGTCAAATCGTATTTTTAATGATATCTCAATTTTTTCAAATGGAACGAGGGTGGCTCATTAGCATATTTGGAAAAAGCATTTTTTTACGAATAATTTGATACAACACACTTGGTATTTCGAGTCAATTTTTCGTTACGAACCGCAAGTTATTATAATTTCAAATAAACCATATGCGAAATTGTCAAAATTTGACATATGATATGTCATTCTATTCAGAATGTCATTTTCTATAAAATAAAGTAAAAAATACCGAGGGTGCCATTTAAAAATCAAAAGTTGTAGTCATTTCCAGTGAAACAGAAAGTGGCCGAAAACAATTGAATATATCAGTCAATCCTAATTTATGTCATATACTAACATACCAAATCTCGTTTTTTTATATAAAACAATAAAAAAGTTATAGGGGTGAGCCACTTTTGAGACGCACCCGGCATACGCTTATCTTTTAGAAGCAAAATATAATTTTATTATTTTTAATTTACGAAAGATTAGTTAAATTAATACTTTATAACAATTTGTAAAAGTACTAATTTTTCAATCATAATTGTATTGTATATGATACTCATATTGCGCAATCAAAATTGTTAAAGTACTATCAATACCAAATAAACTTTTAGTTACGTCATCAAGGGCACGATTATTAAATTCGTTGTTGCCAACTATAGACATATTTGGCGGTAGGCGATTTAAATTTCGCGCTGGGGGTTCAGGTGGTAGCTCTGCTGTAAAAATTGTCAAGTTGCCAATTTTATTTATTTATATTCTAATATTTTAATTCTTTTTTTCACTTTTGTTTTATATTACGAGTTTTTGGTTTGACTGAACTGTGTTGTAATACTTTACGCTTAAATTCTTTTAGACGTTGCAGTCGAAAATTCTTCTTTTTAGTACCGCTTGTAGTGCGAAGTGTTCAAGATGCCGAAGCAGCTTAATAGCCGTTGCAAAAAACTCATCACAACTTTATTCGAATATTTTATGTGCTTTAAGTGCTGTTAAGGACGTGTGAGTTTTATTGATGTAAATAATAACTGTTTATATATTTATAATTAATTCATTTCTTTCTCTAAAATATTTTCATTAAGAGAAAATATGTAAACGTAGGCAATGCTGTGCCGGTCAAGCGTAATCACGTGACTAAAAGTTTATTTGGTATAATCTATAGTGTACAGGGTGTCCCATTTTAGTTGATATCATACGGTATCTGCGTCCATTATCAATGAAGATAGAAGGATGCGGTTTGCACAAACCTGTGCCACTTTTTTGTCAAACGAAAGATGCTGTCAACAAAATTTTCATAGCCCTCTTCGTTTCTGAGCTACAGGGTCTTTTCGAAAATTTTGCAATTAGGGACAGCCCCCGTGTCTCCGTTATTATGGATGATATCGAGAAGGTGAAAACTGATTCTTGTAGAACTTTTTATGTAGAATACAGTGGCGTAGTCTGTTTAACTACGAAAAAAAAATTTTTGGAAATATGAAATAAATTTATGTTTTTTCAAATGGAACACCCCGTATATTTATAAACCATATGATTTATACAACACATTCTCAAAAATATATATCACTCTATGTTTATTTTCACTATTTACTGCAATATTTAAAATATATCATTTTCTTTATTAGTAGGCCGTGATAAATAACAAAAAATCAAAATGGTATTTACAAAAATAGTCATACACATATTAAAATTTTATTGGGAATTGATATATTTTACTTTTGAACTGTTACCTCTGAATCTTTTTTATAACGGAATGGGTTTGCAAATATCTAACAGCTTGCATTATTAGCTAGCATTATTAAAGCATTTTTTAGGTGTTCGACATTGTATTAGTTGCCACGATATATTTCATATTTCAAAAATCCCTAAAATCAGAAATCGAGAACGGACAAATCCGGGAATCAGGAAGACCATCATATTGGTCCATTTGTTCGAATTCATTGATATGATAAATTATAATTTAACAAAATTCTAATATTTTCGTTGTAAGTTAAGTTGTGAGGGGAAAAACATCTAGCTGAAAGTATATTTCACGTAAATTTGCTAATGGAATATTTAGAAGTTCCGATATGATAGCTTCTAAGATTTACAAATAGCGGTAGTGAGTTAAGTTTCCCTAATAAATAAAGAAATTATTAGTGGCTCTCAAAATAAAATTAGAGCCAGATACTCTACTTTTAATTTCTTTTATTATCAATCATGGCCTACTAATAAACATGATCTTTAAATATATTTTTTCAAATATTGCAGTAAATAGTGAAAACAAATATCGAGTAATATATATTTTTGAGAAGCTTATGGCAAGCCAGATCATATAATTTATAAATACACAGGGTGTTCCATTTAAGAAAACATAACTTTAGTTCATATCTTACAGACTACGCCACTTTATTCTACGTAAAAAGTTCTACAATAAACTGTTTTCACCGTCTAGATACGTTTTACAATAACAAAGATGCAAGGGGTGTCCCAAATTGCAAAATTTTCAAAAAGACCCTGTAGCTCAAAAACGAAGAGGGCTATGAAAATTTTGTTTTCGGCATCTTCCGTTTGACAAAAAAGTGGCACGTTTGTGCGAACCGCACCATTCTATCTTCACGAATAACGGAGATACCGTATGATTTCTACCAAAATGGGACACCCTGTATAGTAGATACATACGCTTATCTTCTAAAAGTAAAAAATAGTTTTATCTTTAATTTTCGAAAAACTAGTTAAATTAATACTCTATAGAGTTTCATCTTTGCACCGTGCAAAGTACAATTTGTAGTACTAATTTAACGTTAATAATTGCTGTCATATTTACCGTAATAAACCCATCTCCCGACTGGAAAATCCCCTGTTCGGTACTGGTTAACTTTCCCCGATAAATCACTTGAAACGGCGACGTCGCTATCCGGCGATAATCTTTCTCGACGAGATAATCTTTCGCCGAGCACAACAGCGTGTCGAACAGTCCATTAGCTTTTGACACTTGGTATCTGGCGTAGTCCCTGCAAAACGGATATTTATTTACCAAAAGTACATAAACTCGCTGCATTTGCGAAAGATGATACGTTCATAAAATTCGCTCCCTATCGATTCCACTACAAAATATCTCTGTAAAATATCGGTCGTAAGGAAGTAACTGCCAGCGATATAGTGTAGATCTTCCTCAATAAAACAAATATCGTCATGCCGACTACTTTAAAGCATGTTATTTATATCGTATAATAAAAAAACGGTGTCAAGGACGGCTGGGGAATGACAATCGATGATAATTTTGGCGAGGTCAATCTCTAGACGTCATTTACTCAAGATTAACTGAAAAACTTGTCACAAAATAACACCAATTATAGAAAGATCAAAAAGGATAGAACTTTCCAGACACAGAAATCTATTTCCAGAAAATTCTTTTTTTTCGAACGTCACAAAACTACCGTATGATCGAGAAAAAACGGCGTCCAGTTGGCTGGGAAATGAAGATCGCTGTCATTTTATATGTAAATTTATATGGGAAATGTCATCGATCGTCATTTCCCAGCCAACTGGACGCCATTTTTTTTCGATCATACGGTATTAATTTTGTGACGTGATTGACAATATGGTAATCGCAAAACAATTTCCAATGAACGTGATCAATTTTGAGTGACAAGCGATGGTGACAGCGCTGCCAGATTGTGATGGATTTATGAAATGAATCTTAATTTAAAAATGACAAACAATATATTTATTATATAATTTTTTAAAGATTTTTACGTTTTATTTTTAATTTAATAACTAATATTTTAGTAATAATTGATTTATTTGTTTTATAGATTATTTTACTTTTTACATATTGGCAAAAACTAGTCCATTATGAAGATTATTTTAAGCGTACGTTATTATGGGATATTTATTTGTTTATTGATGTACTGGGTGAGTCAACGATAGAGTAAAGTCCATTATCTCATTTGTTTCGAGGTTTACAAAAAAATATCAAATATAAAAGTTATAGGGACGGTTAAGATACACATTTTAAAATTATTATAGAGTATACAGGGTTGCTTCAAAAAAGTGTGGCGAATATAACATGTTTTTTTAAGCGGAACACCCTATTTTTTATTTTATTTTTAGATTCTGCGTAAAATTCCATAACTTTTTTGTATATAATGTTTTATACCTAAAATTAATAGTTTTTGTAATATTTAAATTTATTTTAACAAATGTGAGATCGCAGTGTGATAAAAAATTGTCAGTGATGGTATTGTTTCTGAAGTTGGAGAACTAAAATTTGGTAGAAGAATTTTATAGAGATATAGAAAAAGACCTATGTGTTCAAAATATATTTATGAATTTCAACTACTTAAAATTAAGAAATTCCAAATTTTTTAAATGGTACACCCTATATATTATCATATTTTCTGATAGATTTTACAAAACTCTTCAACTTTTATTAAGTATGTCATATACCTATTTTTGATACTTTGCGATTTATTACAATTTTTTTCTATTTTTACCCATATTTTTAATAAAATTACGCTACAACATCATAGTTGCCATGACAAAAAGTAATAATTATCAAAATTTCTTGTCTGTTAAGCAAATTAAGGACAAAATTTGAATTTTAGTTTAATTTGTTGTAATAAGTATAAATTGTAGAGATAATAGTTACAGATTTTCCTGAAATGAATTAGTCAATGTGACACGAACAAACCAAGAAAAATATATTTTTTGTACTATATATTATATTTAGTACTATATATTATATAGTACTTTGGTAAGTAGTATAAGAATAGATGTAGATTATCTAGAAAACATCTTCAGTGTGTAATAGGGCGGTTTCGCGGCAGTAGTAATATTGGCTTTACCAAATGATATATAAGTAAACCAGAATTACTACGATAAAAAAACTTTACTGTATGTTGAAGGAAATTCCATTATCAGTAGTCTTACAACAATTAGGTAATCTAATATTACCTTAATCTGTGGTTATTCGCCTCGACGCGCGACGGAAAGTCCAAGTGTCCTCTTTCATAATATAGAAATACACTAAGAAATTCGTGACTGCGATTTTTTGTTTATTTGAGTAAAGTTAATTAATTATAACTAATATCAGCAATTGTAACTAAATATTAAACTACTTGTTAAAGATAAGTAATAAATAGTTAGTTTTGTCATGGTAACTGTGATTTTATAGAGTAATTGTATTAAAAATATGGTAAAAATAGAAAAAATTGGAATAAATCGCAAACCATTAAAAGTAGGTAAATGACATGCTTAATAAAAGTTAAATAGTTTTGTAAAATCTATCAGTAAAAATGATAATATATAGGGTGTTCCATTTAAAAAAAATTGAGATTTTTTAATTTTAAGTAGTTTAAATTCATAAATATATTTTGAACACCCTGTATCATTTAACTAAAATATTTTTATATATACCTTTTTTTTTTCATCTCTATAAAACTCTCCTACCAAATTTTGGTACTTCAACTTCAGAAACAATGGTACCACTGACAATTTTTTACCACACTGCAATTTAACATTTGTTTAAAAAAATTGAAATATTACAAAAAAACTATTAATTTTAGGTATATAACATTATATACAAAAAAGTTATGGAATTTTACGCAGAATCTAAAAATAAAATAAAAAATAGGGTGTTGCCTTTAAAAAAACATATATTATATCCGCCACACTTTTTTGAAGCACCCTGTATACTCTATAATAATTTTAAAATGTGTATCTTAACCGTCCCTATAACTTTTATATTTAATATTTTTTTGTAAACCTCGAAACAAATGAGATAATGGACTTTACTCTATCGTTGACTCACCCTGTACATCTTACAACGCCATAAGTGGTAAAAAAATAACTCATAATAAATACTCATAATTTTTTGGACATAACAAGTAAGAGATCGCTATTAATGCACAAAGTAATAATCACAGAATTTAATAAAAACTAACGTAGAAATAACTTTGAAAGTGGTGTAATGTGCTTATCACACACACACACACACATATACACGCATGACCATATTTGTGACAACCGTGCAGTAAAGACATTTGTGGTATCATCTCTATTTTTGTACGAAATGATACGAACTCGCTGTCCACGACCTAAAAATATAATTTATATGTCTATACACTCCACCGTAAGAAAGTTATTGGCATTTGTTAATTGTGGAAACCTGTTCCACAAATATATAATTTTAGAATGTGTATTTGTGCTACCACAAATACCTTGCACCATAAAAGTGTGTAATATAGATACCACAAATATACAAATTTCAACTTCCTGTAAAAAGGACTCCACAACTATTGTCGAATGTGAGTAATTATCAACTAACCTTTTAATATAACATTTTTAGTAATTTCCGTGTAGCTACGCTGATTCAGAATTAGTGTTTGTGGATGCTACATATTGCTATTTGGAATCAATATTTTCGTCCAAGCAGCTATATTATATTATCACATATTAGAGAACAACGGCATACGGTCGAATCGGCCGCTGCTGGCACGTATACGTAGACGTAAAGAATCTTTTACGTGTATAAAAAATAAAAAATATAAGAAATGCGCATGCGTACGTAAACGTTTACGTGTTTGTAGGCCGACTCGACCGTATGCCGTTGTTCTCTATTTACCGAAAAAAATCGTAACGTACCATACGATCGAAAAAAAAAACGGTGTCAAAGACGGCTGGGGAATGACAATCAATAATTATTATTATGAGCGAGGTCAAGCCCTAGATCTCCATTTACTTGGCCCGTACTATTCTCTATTTTTTCATGGCGCTTACTGCCAATTGACTTTAAGAACGTTGTAATTTATTTCTATATTAGTAAAAATTATTTTTTAATAATGTAATTTAAAATTCGAGAAAAAAATACTTTTTTGGAAGTAGATTTGTGAGTCTGGAAACATTCAATCATTTTTTAGATGTTAGAAAATTAGTATTAATTTTTGATAAGTTTTATGTCAATTTTTAGATACTGGCGTCTAGAGATTGACCTCGCCAAAACTAGCAACTATTGTCATTCCCCAGGCGTCTATGACGCCGTTTCTTTTTCGATCAAACGGTATTTCTAACCCATTGTTCACAAATATTTAGCCAATACAACTAACGATATAAAAAAAAGTTTCACTCAGTGTAAGTAGGGTTTCCAATTATTTAAAATCCCGGAATAAGAACCTATAATCTCGGAATCGCGGGGATCAGAATGAGAAATTTAATCTAAAGAAATATTTAATAAAAATGCAGCTACATAATATATCAAAAAGAAAATGAGGAAAGAGCTTTATTAAAATAGAATAAACAAAGTAATTTTCCATATGTAGTTAGTAAAAAAAATAAAATTCTTGTTGCAAAAAAAATATAGCAAACACGGAAATATAACACTTAGATATTGACGTTCGGCTTACAACGCTTTCAGATGGAGCGGACCGTCCTCGCGGATGTTTTTTCAAGATAGCTCATCCGGACGAAACATAGGCGAACCATGTGAAATTATGTTCATTTAAATTCATGGAACTGGTGGACGGTCCGCGCGGACGCTCCGCTCCATCTGAAAGCCCTGTAATGGAACTCGCGGACGGTACGCGCGGACGCTTCGCTCTATCTGAAAACGCTGTAACAGCGCTTTCAGGACTCAGCGCGACCGTACGCGATATTTTTTCAAGATAAGATAGCCGTCGACGATCTTAAGGTGTACGCGCACTGAATCGGTACCAGTCCGGCGAGAAACGGCGAAGGCGGTGACTCGACTATCGTAGATAGGTAGAGGTAGGAATCTGACCTCTACGGGCCGAAATGTTTTAGTGGACGCCGGCGCCGTCTATATGTACGATGGTCGCAGTCGCTTTTGCTGGTCGGTCCGATCCGATGCAGTGCGCGCCCTCCTTTATCCGGACGGAGCATACGCGCGACCCATATAAAACTGTTCATTTGAACTAGTGGAACACGCGGACGGTACGCGCGGACGCTCCGCTCCATCTAAAAGCGCTGTTAGTATAAATAAAATATGATATTT